GGGGTGGGGGGGGCCGTGGGGGAGTCACAACCGGGCCTTGGGGTCAGGCCCTGCCCGATCTACCTTGCTCACTCCCACCCCCACGGGTTCCCTGCCTCCCACCTACCGGTTGTTGCCGCACAGAATGGGCTGCAGGGCGGCCCAGAGCTGCACGAAGGCGGAGCACTGGCCCTGCTGCGCGTCGGAGGTCAGGGACACAGCCGACGGGGCACCCTCCTCGGCCGTGGTGTTGGAGCCCGTGCCCGCCCCGGCCCCTGTGCCGTTGCCCGTCCCCGCAGGGCTGCTGGCTGGGGACCCAGGAGCACGGCCGGCGCAGGCACCCTGGGGCAGCAGCAGGGCCAGGGCCGAGAGGACGTCCACGTCCTGCAGAACTTTTTGGGCGTCCAGCAGGTCTTCCAGCAGCGCCTGCAGCCGCCGTGGGGGAGGTGGCTGCTGCTGTGGGGCTGAGCCGTTGCGGGCATCCAGGCCCAGCTGAGGGGAAATGGGGCATGTGGAGAAATGCAGGCTCCGGAGGGGGCAGGCTGGGGACTGATCTCCAGGTGGGCGGCTGAGGTCAGGGTGGAGCAGGGAGGACACTAGCAAAGGGAGGACACAGGCTTGGAGGAGGGGGGCTGAGTGAGAGTCTGCAGCCTGGGGGTAAGGGGAGTACTGGCCAGGGGCTGGGAGACGCAGACTGGGGTAAAGACATGGGGCAGGGCGGGGGTGTGAGGGTGCTGGACACCCAACCACAGGCACACCCCACGCACAGCCTCAGGCCCAGGAGGCCCCTAGGAGTGCTGGTACCTCCTCCAGTCGCACAACAGACCTGCTTACCTGCTGGGCGATCTTGGCCACGTCCAGCTGGTTCCGGAGCTCAGCAGCCAGCCCAGAAAAGCGCTGGGCGCGGGCTGCAGCCTGCCCACTGCAGACAGTGTCTCGGTAGCTAGCCCTGCAGCGCTGGCTGCTGACCCTGGGGCATAGCGAGGATCCGTCCCAGTTCCCTGGAGCCCGGTGCACATGTGAGCTGCTCCAGGAGGGTGGGGGCGAACAGGAGCTCCTGGGGGCAGGGTGCAGGGGAACAGCTGGGAGGAGCCCCAACCAAGAGGAGGCCAAAGCATCACCTGCCCTACCCACTGTGCCAGGTCTGAGACTGCCCAGCGTCTCCAGTGGGGTGAGGGGGAGACACATATCACCATCCTGCCTTTCCCCTGCCAGCCACAAATTCCTGGGACCCTCCCTCACCCCAGAAGGGGCTCAGAATGATCCAGAGGGCCCCTTTCTGCACCCACCGGGCAGAAACGCCCACCCAGAAGCAGGCAGCAGCCTCCCGTCCCAGTAACAGGCCCCTCACCTCCAACCGGAATAGAGAACTGGCACCCAGGCGGCCCCAGGGCTCCTGACCCCTGGGGAATCCTGAGTCCACATCCAGGGCAGGCGAAGGGCCAAACAGCAGGTGATAGACCTGGGGTGTGAGGGGGCGGTGGCTCAGACTGGGGGTTGCCGAGCCTGGCCCTGGGGCTGCCTCAGAGCCCTGCATGTCCCCCCACCCCCACCCCACACACACACCAAGCAGGAGAGGGCAGAGTGGCCAGGGCTGGGAGCTGCCCCTGAGAGCAGACACATGCTCACTGCCGGTGCTTGGCCGGCCTCACCTCGGGCAGGTCCACCTGAGCAGCCAGGAGAGCCCGGGCCGTGCTGTTAGGCAGCGACAGGTTCTGAGACAGGAAACGCCACAGCTCCCTCGGGTCCCTGGCCACCGAGTCCAGAGAGAAGGACACTGGACAGGCAGAAGAACAGAGCTGAGGGCCAGCCCTGAACAGGCTCAGAGCCCAGCTCCGGACACCACAGCTCACCACTGTGGCGGGCAGCTCGGCCAGGCTCAGGAGCTCGTGCCCTGGGAACTCAGAACAATGGTTTCGATGGAGTGCCTGAGGCATGACCCAGGCTGTGGCAGGAAGTCACCAAGCCAGGTTTCAAACCCAGCTGACACTGTAGCTCAGGCCTCATTCCCCCCCACCCACACACACACACAGCCTGCCCTGGACGCACCTGTGGGTCTGTCCAAGTGGCTCTCCCAGGTGGTGGGGCCCGAGCTGAGGGCCTCCAGGTGCTGGTGCAGGGCCTCGAGCCCCGAGCCCAGGCTGGGCCGCTTCGGGTCGAAAAGGTTGCCCTCCTCCACCACGCGGTTGAGGCGCTCCAGCAGCTGAGTGACCCTGCACCACCATCAGATGTCACCCGCCAGCCACCAGGCCCTGGGGTGGGGTGGGGGACGGGTGGCTGGGCTGAAGGGGTGGCACTCACGTGGAGTTGGCATACTGCAGGAAGCCGAACTCGTCCCGCTGGCCATCTGGGCACAGTGACTGCATGACAGGCAGGATGCCAGCGGAGGTGAGGGGCGCTGCTGTGTAGAAAGCTGGTGGGGACAGGGCGGGTGAGAGGGCCCGAGGGGGGGAAGACAGAAGGAGGGTCGAGAAGGGGAGGAACCAAGAAGGGGGAGGAAGACAAAGGCCAAGAAGAGAAATTGAGAGAAAGTCAGGAAGGAAAAGCAGCTTCAGGCAGCAGACAGGACACAGCGCCAAGAGTTCTAGTGCAAATGACCCCAGTAGGTCAGAGGTCGAAGGGCATCTCGCCATCCCTTCCCTACAACTCTCAGAGCATCCCTCTTCCCTTAGCCAGCCAAAGCCAAAATCCCCCCCCCCCACAAGAAGGCAGGTGTGTCTCTGCCCAGAGCCCAGGGGAAGCATATGGGGTCCCCTGCTGGGAAGCAACCTCTGACCTCTCTGGCCAACTGGTTAGCAGAGTGAATGCAGGAGCCTACCAGCGTCTGAGGGGAGAGCAGCCAGGTGGCCCAGCCCCAGGCTAGCCCAAGTGCCCCAGCCCTGCAAGGCAGGACCAGGCGACCCCATGGGGAGAGAGACACCCTGGGAGTCTGACCCAGTGCCCCTGTGACCCAGGTGGCCAGGCCCTTCACTCCCACCACCCACTGCCCCCTCCCGAGAGCCAGCCGTTCCTGACAGTGGGCAGAGGCTCTGCAGGACCCAGCAGGGCAGGGCCGGGAAAAGCTGTTAATGTAAGCAGGAGCGGGGAGGGGTGCTCAGGCCACACCAGGAGGCCCCCCAGGACCATCCTGCAGCTGCGCCTGGGCCAGCAAAAAGGAGGCGGCCTCTCACTTACAGACTGCATGCAGGCGGCGGAGGACAAGAGACCATGCAGGGGAGGGGCAAAACAGAACAGAGAACAGTGAGGAACCGGCGCCTCAGTCACTTGTGGTCACCAGTCAGCCACCACAGCCAGCCACATCCTCCAGCCTGGCCAGGAGGTGTGGCAAGGGACCACGCAGGGAACAGGAACACGGACTGCCCGGGAGCACGGGGGTGGGGAGAGGGCAGAGGGGCCTGTGGGAGCTGGGACACACACGTGTGGTCACGTGCACACACGACATGCGTGCATGATGCAGAGGGCCACCAGCCCCACCTCACCCCACCCACACAGATGTGCCCTGGGCCCACCCCGAGGACCCTCACCTTCCTTCACAGAGATGGTTGGTTTTTTCTGCCGCAGCCCAAGCAGGATGAAGAAGAGGACCAGAGGGATGAAGATCTCGAAAGCCAAGACCCACTGGAAAAGGCGGGCGGAGTGAGGTCACCTGCCCAGGGCTGGACAGGACAGACCCGAGCCCTCCTCTCCGTACCAGACAGATGCCCTTCCCCACAGGGCCTGTCCATCCCAGCCCAGCCCCCACATGCTTCCCCAGGGGCCACAGAAGGTCAACCCAGTCCCTTCCTTTGAGGGCCTTTTCGAAGGGCAACAGGGCAAGTGTTGTCTGGCTCAAGCGAGAATCAGGTTTCCTACCCCACGGCCCAGATCCCACTCGCCATGCTGAGGGCCAGCAGGGACAAGTCAGCCAGCTTGCGGTCCACTCTGACCCATGCATATGCCCCGCTCATCTTGTCCCCCGTTTTCAGGGCCTAGGGCGATGAGGCCTGGCTGGGGGGTGGCCTGGTCAGGGGTCTACCAGTCCCCAGTACCCGATGCACAGGTATTGCTCCGGCCTCTCCCTCACCCCAGGTGGTTCAATGTTCCTAGGATGGCTCTGGCCAACCAAGGCTGGGCACCAGGCTGAGCCCTGCCCGGACCTGCTGTGTGGGAAGGAACTGCGCCGGGGGGGGGGGGGGGGGGGGGCACACACAGTGCGCAGGCTTCCTCTGTTTCACCTGGACAATGGAAGGACCTCATTGTCTCACCTGCACCTCTCCTAGCTTAGGGAGCGGGAGGAGGAGAAGGACCTCAGGCTAGCTGCTGCTGGGGGAGCCTGCCCAGCCTGAGGGTGTGCCTTGACCCCCACCCCCACCCAACTCTTCTCAGAGGCACTAGGTTTCCTTCATCCTCACCCCCCACCCCAAAACGGACTTCAGAGCTCCCGTCCCAGCGGCGCTCTGCCTGGCCCAGGGCGTGAGCCCCTCTCCCCTGGGCTGGGGCAGCTGCTGCTGTGTTTACTGTGCTTGGACAAGAGTGCTCTGTGGTCTGGAACACCCCACACCAGCCCCAGTCCGTGCCAGCCTCCACCCCCTCCCTGAGCCAGGATCCAGCCCTGAGCTGGCCCAGGAGGTGTCACGGGCACCCACAGGGCTGGGGACAGGGGCATGCCACATATATACATGCCACAGGGTGAGGATAGCTGCGTGCAAGCGGCGACCCAGGAGGCCGAGGTCACGGCCATGGTGCCAGCCTCACCCACACCCCCCTGCCACTGGGCACCTCCACCGCGTAACTGCAGCAACAGGCCTCACTGCCTCCTCATTGCTATAGCAACGGCTGCACACGAGCTGCTGGGAGGAGGAGGAGAGGCCTGCTGGGCAGGCAGGCGGGCGGCCAGAGGGGCATCTGGTTACAGGCAGGCAGCACAGGTTCAGCCCCACCTGGCCAGCAAGGTGGTCACACCCCATCCCTTGTGACCAGCGCAGTGCCCCATGTTGTCCCTGGGGCTTGGGTGCCCACCCTGGGCCTGAGCCCCCTCCTGCTGTGTCAAGGGCAGAACAGGTGAACCTAAGGATGGAGTTGCTGCCTCCCACCCAGGTGACTTGGTGACAGTAACCCAGTCACTCCCCCAGGAGCAGCCAATGGCTCCAGGGTAGACCCGTGTCCAGCTGACTAAGGGGATAGGCCACACCCACAGATAGAGAAACAGAGGCACAGAGGGAGGGAGAGGAGCGAGCAGGCACAGAGGTCCTTGGTTCCTACACTCCAGACCAAGCTTTCCACGGGGGGCACCCCACTCCCCCAGAGAGGTGCACAGCACACAGGGCAACTCTAATGTCGACCAAACCCAAAGGTCCAACTCTGAAGCCCAAGATGATTCCGGGAAGGTGGGGGTCCAGCGGGAGCCTGCCCCACCTCTGGGCAGCCCCAGCTCCACAGTGCCAGCTGACAAGGCCTCAGCGACCCGGAGGAAGTTCCGGTGTCCTACCCAGCCCCCCAGGACCACCACAGGGCAGGGGCACAGGAAGGTCTGGGGGAGGCCCAACCCGGCAGGTAGAAGCCACCGCTGGGTGTAGGACAGTGGGCGCCTCCCACCTGCTTGCCAGGTGCCCTGCAAGTCACCACTCCCTTTTCTGAGCCTTGGGGTCCCCCGTGGGTGCAGGGGACATCGTTCCAACCTCTGATCCCAGCCCCCATGGGCCCCTGCCAGCCCAGGGCCCCGGGGCTGATGCTCATGCATGTCCACGTCACAGTCCCTCTTATTCTCCGGAACCCCACCCTGCTGTCCCCAGTGACCCAAAACCTGAGGTGGAGGAAGCGGCATCACGGGCTGCCTGGGGCTGCAGGCCTGACCCAGCACCAGCCAGCCCCCGGAGTCCTGGGCAGGGAGTGTACCCAGCCCTGGCTCCCCGCCAGGGCCAGGTGCCCAGGGAGATCCTGCCAGGCCATGGTGATGATGGCCACCTTGCCCTGTGCACTTCAAAACCTTTCTCAAGGAGAGACCCGGGCAGAAACTGGTCGGTCCAAGGGGTCCCAGGATCAGGTGAGACAGGAGCCTCCTGGGCCCCAGGTGGCCAAGAGGATGCCTCCTCCTCAGGCCCCCATTCAGGACCCTGGCCTGCTCTGAGCCCCATCCTGGAAAATCCCCAGGGCCCATTCAGAAACCCAAGCTGCCCAGGCCTCTGGTGCGTGTGCTGCTGCCCTTCTGGAGGCCGGAGCAGTGAGGGCCAGCATGACGACATCTACGCTGCCCCAGCCCTGCTTCTCACCAAGGCTTCTGTCCCTGAGCTCTCAGACCCCTGGCTGCCCCAAACACAGGGCAGAGGACTGGAGAGTCTGGTGGTCACAGCTCCAAACAGCATGATCTGGCCCCCAGAGGAGGCTGTGTCAGGGGGATCAGACAGTGCCTCAGCCTCGGGGAGGACTGCCCCAAAGGACAAAAGGGTGCGGGGACTCGAGCTGGCAGAGGCTGGCACAGCAAGGACATTTCCAGTGGTGAGAAAGCAATAGCCAGGACTAGTTGAGGCGAGGGAGCGGGGGCTGCCCAAGGGCAGAAGGGCGGTGCAGGCAGGGAAGGGGCACGGTCCCTGCAGGGGCTCCAGGGGGGCTGGGCCAGGAGACCACAGAGCCTCAGAGCTGGATCAAGTCCCCCAGGCCGGCCCCCTGTCCTGGAAACCAGGACCTCCCTCGACCCCAGGGTCCCCAGGGCCGCCTGCTCCCCCCACCTCTGAAGCTGGCTCTGAAGAGCGCGCTGCGGAGGGCGCCCGTGACTCAGCCCAGCACCGCGAATGTCAGCGGGCGCGGCAGGAAGGCTGGGCACGACCGAGCCCCCTCGTCGGAGGCGGGAGACCGGGCAGGGACAGGCGGGGCCCGGCTG